ACCATTGGTGGGCATATGTAGAGAAAGGATTTTTCTGATTTCTTGCACTACAACTCCCATAATTCTCTATTCCGGGAGTTGTACCTGACGGACACCTAAATGTGGCTCAACTGGGAGAAAGGCCTCAACCGGAAAGTGTTGTGGCCTAGCTAGGCCTAGCAGGGCCTAAGCTTCATGCCCCCACGCTAGAGATAGCTGACAACTTCCTTTCTGAACAGGAAGCTAGGCCTAGCTCAGCCTGGAAGCCTTCCAGCTGAGGCCTGTCTCCCATCTAAGTCACATTTAGGTGTCTATCTATCAGGACCAGCTCCCAGAACGGCAGAGCTGGAAGGGACCCTGTGGATCATCCAGTCCACCCCCTGTCAAGGAGGCCCAAGTGGGGATTCAAACTCCCAACTTCTGGCTTCGCAGCCAGATAACCTAACTCACCGAGCAATCCAGCAGTTCTTGTTATGTGCTCTGGCTTGGATCTTAACTGTTTGGGCATTATTCAAGCCACTGGTTTTAAGACAGAGGGGAATGCCTAGCTCAATCCATCACCATATTCTTGGTGATGATGACGATGGGCCTGAAGAGGAAAACAGATGAATAAATCTGTATACACAAGCAAAAAGCCTGGGAAATCTGGGTTCTTTGTCACATGTTAGACCTTACAAACAAACAGGACAACTCCCCCAGTTGGAAACTGGCTGTTCACCCGGTCTGCATTCTTTTTCCTACATCACCATGAGGACTAGCGACTTGTGTTATTTAACCTTCTTTTTCAGAACTCTGAAACTCTGTCAGAGTTTTGCAGCTGGTTCCGAAGACTCGACTAGCCCTAAACTGTTGCCGAAGTTCGTTGTGAGCCACGAAATTGGATGGAATCACACACATCCCCCCCCCCGCCATCATTCCGGCATAACTTTGACAGAAGAGGCAGAATCAATCTTGCCTAGGTGGGGTGGGGAAAAAATCAAGCCTGTAATTCTGTTTGGAGGCTCTTACAGCCGTTGTGACACGTTTTCTGAAGCTACAGAGAGAAAGCCCGCTTGAAGTTCTCTGCCATGTTTTTTTGGCCTCCCCAATCCACTCCTAAAGTTTTGCCTGCAACTACTGCCCTCTCCCACAACCCCAAAAAAATAATTGCAGTTCATTAATCCATTAGGCTTTTTAATTGCTACCACTTTTATTTTTACGAATTCAGCCAGTGCCCTTAACTTTGCTTCGCTTTATATATATATTTCTCCCTGTGTATAATAGTTGCTCGGCTCCAGAGCAGATTAGGAGAAAATTGCAGCCATAATCTGTAGCACGCAATGATGGCGCTTGTAAAGAGCCACGAATGACGCGGGAGGGAGGAAAGAAGGGAAAAGAATGGGCACATTTAAATCCCAAAGGTGGAGCGTGCCGTTGCAAACACGAGGGGGCTTCATAAATGAAGGATCGTTTTAATTCTCTTCTCACGGCCATCGTTTGATTCCTCATAAATTCTGCCATCAAAGCGCCGGGAGGGGACACGGCTGTCGGTTCGATGCGGGTGACAGTGATGGAATGAGCCACTGTCGACGAGAGGAAGCGCATGAAGCCATGAGCGCATCCGTTCCCTCTCTTTGCTCCGCCACCAGGAACTCTGAACCCTTTGCCAAGGAACGGTGGCCTGGGTTTTCTTTCTTTCCTGTAGGCACCGTACGTACGGGTTGGTCCATAAAGGCAGAGAGGGGGTAACTGCCCCACCTCAGGGCGTTTCTCGTCGTTATGCGCCATCAAGTCGCCCTCGACTTACGACGACCCTCTGGATAAAGCAATAAGCAAACAAGTGAGTCCTAGACCAAATCAAGTCTGAACCCTTTCAGGAGCCAAAAGGGTTCCGATGGAGGTTGTCCTGCTTTCGGATTGCGCTGGAAAAGACCATCGTGCTGCGCAAGGTTGAAGTCAGCCGGAAAAGAGGAAGACCAAATTATGAGATGGACTGACTCACTAAAGGAAGCCACAGGTTTGAGTTTGCAAGAGCGGAGCAGGACGCCGGCGGACAGCACATTTTGGAGAGGGCTCATCCGCAGGGTCGCCGTAAGCCGGAGGCAACTTGATGGCACATCATGAGAAGTTGTTGTAGGTGTTTGCACAGCAGGAAACACCTGTTCTGATTTCTTAGCTTGGTGGATGTAACTTGCAAGATTTTGGCCAGTATCTGGGTGTCCATCGCTGTTCATGGTGTGTGTGTGTGTGTCTTTTGCATTTCCTTGCAAAGCTTGTATCGATGATGATGATTTGAAGCGATTTAAAATTCCAGGGTGCATGGCTGATATTGCAAACTGTAGCTGAATTGCTCCTATCCGTAGCGACGATATTTTTGCCTTGGAAAAATAAGAGCAGAAGGAGCCCCCGGCGAGCTGAATCGGGCTCTCCTTTACAGCTCCGGTCCTGTTTAGACAGCCTCTCGGACCGCACTTAATGTGAACGGCAAACTCCACACCGCTCGCTCTCTCTCCCCGCCCATAAACGGGTTATAATAAAACCATTACAGTCTATTTGCCCCACAAACAAGAGGAAATTAAAGACCCGGATGAGGCGATTGAACAGGTAAAGGTTAGTTTGTTCGGACCTTATTATAACAGCAAACAACGCCGCATGGCGATTGCAGGGAAGCGGATCGAGAAAGCAAGATAAGGCAACCCAGGAGGTAATAAATCAGCCACCCCATAACGCCAGATGGCATGCGCCCCTGGCACAGGAAAAACTCCACAGCCCCTCTTGCCACTGTGGTTTTGTCCTCTAACCTTGTGCTTCTAAGATGTTGATGACGATTACCCTTAATGAACTACAGGATAACTCAGTGGTTTGGATCTCGAGTTCGAATCCCCAGTGGGGCTCCTTGATGGGGGCTGGACTCAGTGATCTTATAGGGTCCCTACCAGCTCTGCAGGTCTAGGATTATGTACCCAACTAACGTTGGTAATCTATTTCCCATCTTCTCTTCTCTTTGCTAGTCAGAAATGGCTGGATGGTGAACATACCTTTCCTTTTTCACATCCAAATTTCTCAAAAATTCCCTGCCTGAAGAGAGCTAGTAGGCCGGTGGAAAAGCTTGGCATTCTCCCTGATTTGCTAGTTTTCTACATCAAGAGAGTTTACAGGAAATGGTCCCATCTTTAGAAGTTCTGTCCAATTCATATAGGCTTGAATCCAATGGAGAGCCTCGAATTGAGCAGAGCCATGGAATCAATGGTGTTTACTTTCATGTTGGCTTACAGTTCACAATGAGTCTACTCTAGGAAGACAAGCGATTGAGTTACGGTCTTATCCGTCTTTTTTTTTAAACTTGCGGTATTGTACAAGTTGCGGTACTTGTGAATTTGTAGCTCCGTACCATAAATCCTGCAATTATTATGGGCTGGAACTCTGCTGCTGCAAGGGGGGAAAATCCCCTCCCACCTCTGATCAGACTATTTTCCTGCCCAGATTTATGGCCTCGATTGAAACTCCTCCACCGCCCATACAAGGGGGATCTGCAAAGCATCCGTTTTCGAGACCTCAACAGGTTTACTGCCCGCCATTTATATGCTAACCCATCTAACGAGCTGTGGTTTTGATCAAGGGATACCAAAGTCGGGTCGTTTCCCAAATGCAGTTTTCTGTTGTGTGTTTTGCTGTCAATTTAAAAAAAAAGAGTCAGAGGGAAAGAAATATTCATGTCTGCTTGATTATATGTGCCGGTTTCGTTCACCCCCATGAAGATACCAAATTTGACCCGGGGGGGGGAGAGAGGAATCCTCCTATGATTTTCTCCATTTTCGATCCCCATAAGAAGGGTAAAACTCTGTGAAATCTTGCTATTGTGAACTCAACTCTGTTCACCCGTTTGCATGAAAATATACTTGCTCCTTCCAACTCTCTGTCCATCCTCATCTCTGTTCTTTAGTGGCCGGGTACTCTCAGGGATAATGAAATTGACCGTCAAACCACACATTAAGAGGAATGGATATTCCTTCTCGTTAACCCATTTTCCTGTCATAATAGTAATTCCTGAGAATTTTTGGAGTTCTTCGATACCAATCTCATAATTTTCCATTCTGTGAGTTCTACCCGACAGAACCTAAATTTGGCTCATCTGGAAGAAAGGCTTTAGCTAGAAGGTTCCGAGGAGAAGCTAGGCCTAGCTCGGCCTAACTTCCTGTAGAGAAAGGAAGTCCTCATCTAGCACTGAAGCAAGAACAGGAAATGTTGCCTGAACTAGGCCTAGCTAAATCTCAAAGCCTTCCAGTGGAAGCCTTTCTCCCAGATGACCCACATTTAGTTGCCTGTAAAATGTCTGTCTACCAGAAAAACCTACCAGGAAGGAGAAATATGAGATTTGTAGTCCAATAAATCAACACATTGCCTCCCTAAGGCCTTAGCAATCCAACTGGCAAATTAAGCCTGTGTTTTCCTTCCAGTTAACCAAAAAACAAGACAGAGCTTGCTCAATGCAGAATAGGAAGGCAAGGAAATTCACTTGCTTTGACAAACAAATGCTTTTTATCCCTTGAAGGAGCACCTCTTTCATATACATTTAAATGTATTGTTGAGTTTGACTGTCAGTTGCCTTGTGTTTTGGCTGGATCATGTCCTCAGGTCAGGAGAGGCTCCCTCCTCCAAGTGAGTACACTAAGAAAGACGCACCACCTAAAAGTACACAATGTTCTCCCTTATTAAAAAATCACAAGGTTATGCAAGGATAGGATAGAACAGGTTGGATCTTAAACCTCATCGGTATTGGTCAGACAATCCTCGAGGAAAAACAAATAAAGAATGTGTTTATTTGCAGACGTTATTCAAATGAATGTAAAATTGAATATACTTTATAAAACAATTGCAGAGAGATGCTGAAATTTCAAAGAACATGTGAGTAAATATTTGCAAAACAGGACCTGGAGGAAGCTGATTCTAGCATCATAAATGGGATTTTCCAAGGACACTTTGTTCTGCAGTCTAACGCTTTCCCCCATCTTTTGCTTCCTTTTCCTGTCTCACCCCGCCAGATTGTTTGCTGCAAAATGCAGTGGTTGTATGGAGAAGATTGCGCCGACAGAATTTGTGATGCGGGCGCTGGAGTGCGTTTACCACCTGAGCTGCTTTTGCTGTTGTGTCTGCGAGCGGCAACTGAGGAAGGGGGACGAGTTCGTGCTGAAGGAGGGCCAACTCCTCTGCAAAAGTGACTATGAGAAAGAGAAAGATCTGCTCAGCTCTGTCAGCCCCGACGACTCCGATTCCGGTAAGTCCTCCAGAACATCACAAGAGGGGACTTCATAAAGCATCCCAAATGCACAAGAAGGTCTGGGACTCCAGTTCCATGAATCCATTCCAGGTTTGCATCCAATCTGGACCCACGCTATCCAAGGTGCTGAAGTCTCTCCCCAGTATCTTGGCTCCCTCCTCTCCTTTTGGGCAAAAGCCCAAAGGGGAAACACTGCCCTGTGAAATCAGGATCACAACCCCTCCACAGCCATACGCTAAAAGGGGGCCCTACAGTTCCTCTCCCTTTTCCAGTGGGAGAGCTGGGAATCATAAGGCAATCCCACAATAATTAATAGGGCTTGTGTAGATGAAATTAGAGCAGTCACCTCGAGCAGTCGGCTGATACAAACACGCTGACTTTTTCCGTTGACCCACAGTCAAAAGCGACGATGACGACGGGGACGTGAAACCCACCAAAGGACAAGCAAACCCAGGGAAAGGCGGCGACGATGGAAAAGACCCACGGAGGCCGAAACGGCCACGGACGATACTCACAACCCAACAGAGGAGAGCCTTCAAAGCCTCATTCGAAGTCTCTTCGAAACCTTGTAGGAAGGTATGTTTTTAGGTGGAAAGTCTTCTTCATGGCCCAGACGGCCAGGAATTATTAAATTTTCCACAGCAAGCGCTGGGAAAGCAAAAGTGGTCTGAGCCAGGTGTCACTGTGTCCATTTTCTTACCGACCACGCAAAGCACAGCTCACGCACCTCGCCTGAAAAGCAAAGTCCAGTGCAAGCAGCTTCAGGCCTGCAAAGCACAGTTTGGTGGCTGATTTGTAGGCAGAGTACTGGAAGTTTCAATATCTTTAAAAATTCCCTTTATCTCTAATCACTGGTTGGTGTTAACAGCAAAAGTAGCTGAGGAACCTGAGGGGATCCCTTGAGGACTAAGCCAAATGAATCTCATGAGGGGAAAGAGCTCCAGACATGGGATTTTTGGATAATAATCCCGTAATTCTTCATTCTGGAAGTTCTACCTGACAGACATCTCAAACATGGCTAACTAAAATAAAAGCCTCAGCTAGAAAGTTCTGAGGCCTAGCTCCTGCAAGCTTCCTGTTTCTGCCCCAGTGCTAGCCCTAAAATAAAAGCCTCGGCTGGAAAGTTCTGAGGCCTAGCTTCCTGTTTCTGCCCCAGTGCTAGCTGGGAGATTTCTTACTGAACAGGAAGTTAGGCCTAGCTCAGCCTCAATGTGTTCCAGATGAGGCCTTTTTCTCCCAGGCGAGCCAAATTTTAGGTGTCTGTCTGTTAGGCAGAACACCCAGAATGGAGAATTGTGGGATTGGTAGGCTCTAAAAATTCAAAAATCGCATGTGATCACATTTTTAGGAGAAGCTAAGAATGCTAGGGGGCGCATACAAAGCTTTCCGGAGTATCTCTATGAACAATGTTTTGTTGTGAGCTATAATGCAAATTGTGTGAGAGGCAGCTTGATTCCGAACCGGTGATCAAGACCCATTAGCTTCGCAAAAGACCTGCTCCTGAGGCGGATCCAGAGAGAACTGCTTTCTCAATGTCCATCGAGACCACTGGTTTCAGTTTTTTGAACTTGTTTTGAAGACGCTGGCTGTGAAGATAGTCATGGCACTCCAGTGTTTACCACTACGAGCACTACCTAAATCTCAGCTCCGTAACCAAGGTCAACGGTTTCTTTTTCCTACAGGTGAGAGAAACACTAGCAGCTGAAACGGGTCTCAGTGTCCGCGTTGTCCAGGTGTGGTTTCAGAACCAAAGAGCAAAGGTAAGTTCTGGGCCCAAACGGATAAGCTTCCCATAGCGGTTTCCCTGGGCTTTAAGGTCTTAAGGTCCTTCTCTTAGCCTCTGCTACTCTCACAAACACCCCCAGTGAGGACACAAGAGAGATGGACTTCCTGGTGGGTGCTCCCAGGCTGAAGAAGCCTTCCTCTCTAGGAGTCTAGCTGGACCTCCTCTCTGCTGTCCTTCTGACAGCTTCCCCTCGGTAGGCGTACGGCGACTAAACAGGTTACGGAGAAAGCCATTTTTAACCAGGGAAGCTACGTGGACGTCAGAGTTTGGGGTTATGGGGCTTTATCTCTGCTAAGTCATCATCCACACCTCTGCTGAGGTCCCTCTGATAAATCAGCCTCCCACCTCCCGAGACGTTCGGACAGAAAGGACGGATGACATCTAGAGATGGGTTACGAATTGTAGTTCGGAGGTTCGTGCCAGTTTGTGTAGCACCACAAGTGGGTGGGTTCCCTTCTCCCGGTTGGATCCCCTACTCACCAGCCGGCACATGCTCCTCTCCTCCTCCTCCTCCTCCTCTTCGGTGGTTCCGCCAGTCCCCGGCAGGAGCACGGCTTTGCCTGTCCCGCCTCCTCGTCTGAGTGGGCGATCAGCCAAGGAGGCGGAGCAGGGAAGCCCGAGCTCCTGCCGGAGACCAGCTGAACAGCCGAAGAGGAGGAGGATGAAGAGAGGACCGTGCGCCGGCTTGTGAGTAGGGGATCCAGCTGGGGGCGGCGGAAGGAAGCACGCGAAACCTGCGGTGCCATATGTATGAACCGAGGTCCATGCCCATCTCTAATGACATTCATGGCCATCTCTAATGACATTCGTTAAGCGCCGTGGGATTACATGCCGCGCAAATCAAGGTGCACCGGCTGATTCCTCGTTTCTCTTCCTTCCTCAGATGAAGAAACTGGCCCGGCGGCATCAACAGCAGCAAGAGCAGCAGAATTCACAACGGCTCGGTCAAGGTGGGGAATGGTGGGGTCGATGGGGTTAGATCCAGGTTTCCTGTCTTTCCCCGGGTCCATTATGCTGTTTCTGAGTGGTTGGCTGGTTGGGACGGGACTTTTGAGTTAACCGGAATGGGGGGAGATTATTATTCTGTTAATGCATCCTAAAATAGCATTGGTCTTTTTTGCAGCCACGTCACACTGTTGGCTCATATTCAGATTTTGATCTACGACAGTTCCATGATCCTTCTCACTCTTAGTATTACTGAACCAAGTATCCTCTTCCTTCCGTATCTCTGTGGCTGTAACACTCATCAACCCCCCCCCATGGTTGGGGCTGCTGGGTGTTGTAGTTCAACGACCCTGGATAGCGCCGCATTGGATGAGGCTGTTCCAGAGATGAAAAACAGAGCTAGGGAAGTGGAACAGAATTAGTAAGCCTAAGGAAAAATAAAAATCTTAACCAGAGTTCTAAAGGGTGGAAGTGTTCCAGCCGGTTTGATCTCTCATCGCTGCGACTCTGTTCCCATTGCGACAGCTTCTCGGTTCTTCTTATCTGTTTTGGCCACCTTGGCACCTCTTGGCGCCAGCTGGGGTTGGCCCCGCTCTCGTGGCAGGCAGTGGACACGCACGAGGCCTCCGCCCCAAGACGGACTTGCGACACCGCTCCTCCGAGCGAGGACGCAACCCAAACCACTCCATATGGATGAGTGTCCTCAGACGGGCGTGGCTTCCCCGTGGAGTCAGCCGCTCGGCTCGTAGGAGTGGATTTCAAGGAAACAATTAGCAGCTTCTCCTTCTCGGGCAGAAAAAGAGGGTTTGGAAATCTCCCTTTCGCCAGAAGGCTCCTGTGAGATTCAAGGGCTCAGGGTGAAGGTGGAATCGGGAGAACGCTTCTGCCAGTTAGAATCTCTCGTCGAGGTTCGAAAAACGGACTTGTCTTAATAGAAACCGGAGGGAGTTTGTACGGGCGAAGATTTTGTTGCTAGTGACAAATGAGCCAAACTTGTCTACACAACTAACTGGTTGCACCATCCCTGCTTAGAAACGATTCGGATCAAGCGCAAGCTTTTGGGCACAGCTGATTTCATGCCAGTTCGGTTCCCGGACCTCTCAACTTCCACCTCCTGAAATGGAAAATTATAGGGTCATAGCCAATCAGCAATATTTTCGCCCTTTCTGGGATTTTAGCCACTCAGGGCGTCTTCCTCTCGTGAGCTCAAGAATCATGGAAACTGGGAATGGATATTTTCAGATTTTCCCATTCCGGGAGTTCTACCCAACGGACAGAAAGCTAAATGTGGCTCAACTGGAAGAAAGGCCTTAAATGAACTTTCGAGGCTGAGCTAGGCCTAGCCTCCTCCAAGCTTCCTGTTCCACCCCAGTGCTAGCTGGGAGCTCTCTTCCTGGACAGGAAGCTGAGCTGAGTTAGGCCTAGCTCCCTCTCAAAGCCTTCCAGTTGAGACTTTTCGTATTATTTCCCAGGATTATGGGATGTGCAGTCCATGAATGCAAGGGGCGGGTGGGAGAAACATTGCTAGAGGCAAACACTTGATGACGTTGGCTGGTCTTTCCTTGCAGAAGTGATGTCCAACCGGATGGAAGGGATGATGACATCGTACACGCCCCTAGCAGCTCCGCAGCAGCAGATCGTAGCGATGGACCAGAACAGCTATGCCACTGACCCCTTCCAGCAAGGCCTTACCCCGCCACAAATGCCAGGTGACCACATGAACCCCTATGGTAAGACTCCTCGGGAACCAGCTGCTGTTGGCATGCCAAGTTAGATGGTCAAGGGTTCGGTCTAGGAGCGCCCAGCCCAAACGCCGAAAAGTCCCCTGTCATTTTTCAGGAGGATGGGTCGTGGGAGTGGCTTAATTCAGATTAAGGTTAACCATTTGTTGTCATGTGATCTCAGGTCACTTCCATCTTCTCGACGACCCCATGAATCAATGGCCTTCAAAAATCCTTTCATTAACTTTTGCAAGACATGAAAGTTAAAGAAGGCCATGGCTTCCTTTATGGACTCAATCTATCTCACATTGGAACCTCCTCTTCTCCTACTGCCACCCACTTTTTCTAGCATTGCAATCTTTTTAGTGCATCTTCTCATGAGAGGGTGAAAGCATAATGACTCCCATGTGATTAGGAACTCTGTATGTGGTATTTTTGTGGAGTAGGGGGTAGTAAATCTTATGGAAGGGAGCAGAGCTTCCCTCCACTTAGCAATGGAGAGATATTTCTCTGCCAGATCCGTCACGTTTACGTTCTTCCTTCTATCTCCACCTTGAACTATGACCTTTAAAACAAAAACATCTGTCCTATTACACTAAACACTGGTGTAGATCTACAATAGGAGTGTAGCCCAAATGTAAAGATATCCTGTATTAGCCCTTGTGTAGCTGCCATCAAAATCCTACAGCGATATGGCCAACGTCTGAAGGTTATTCACTGGGTTTTAATCTTCCTTGGGCATTACAACACCCTGTTTAAGAGGTAGTGTTGTCAACCTAGACCTGTTAGTATGCTTCACGAAGGTTGGGAGCTCGTTGACACACTTAAATATAAAAAGGTTTTGAAGGTGCTCTTTTCTGTCCAAGGGAAGGGAGATTTGAGAACTCGGGAAAAATGAGGGGGGTTGGGAACTTTAGTTTTGGAAAAGTGGGGGGGGCCTTGGGAACTCTCATTCAGGAAAAACAAGGGGCCTTGGAAACATTAGTTCTGGAAAAGTGGGGGGCCTTGGGAACTTTAGTTTTGGAAAAATGAGGGGCCTTGGGAACTTTAGTTTTGGAAAAATGAGGGGCCTTGGGAACTTTAGTTTTGGAAAAATAGGGGGCCTGGGGAACTTTAGTTTCGGAAAAGTGAGGGGCCTTGGGAACTTTAATTTTGGAAAAATGAGGGGCCTTGGGAACTCTAGTTCAGGAAAAGCAAGGGGCCTTGGAAACGTTAGTTCTGGAAAAGTGAGATGCTTTCTTATGGCCTAATTTGTTTATTCAGAGCAGTTCTCTGACTCTCCACCGCCCCACACAATTTTTTTTAACAATACACGTGAGCCCAAAGGGCTTTGAGAATAGCTTATTAACATGAGTAGTCCCTCCTCCAGGTTTAACATCTAGCATGACACACAAGGAAAGAAGGGTGGGGAGGGAAGAAGAAGAAGAAAAGAGGAAAACACAAGCACCCATTACTCTTCTTGTCCTGCTCATTTGGGATTGAAACCATGTAGGGAACTTCAAAGAAAGTCTAACCCAGGTAACCTTTGAAGGAAAGTCCAAGCGATTTCAGATTTGGCCCTAACTACCCAGAACCGGTTTCTGAAATTCCTCAACACCACCGTTTCCTGTTCTGGGACTCCTGAGTGTCTTGTCTTCAGCCAAACTGCTTCCCACAGATGGTTTGCTCTTGTCTGTTTGAAGGAGACTCTCCCTCTCTCTCTCTCTCTCTCGCTCTCGCTCTCGCTCTCTCTCTGTCTGTCTTTTACTTTAAAGCAAAACCAAACCCATGTCGTCTTAAAAGCTGTTGTTGGCCCCACCTCTCCCCACGATATTATCTCGGCACGTAGGGCTCTTAGAAGCCTCCAGAAAGAAATTTTTGGAACCAGGTATCTCTTATCTCCTTTGCTTTAATGAAATGACTTTTTGCATAGAAATCCATTAAAAACCCGTTTTGATTCTGGGACAGATCGAGGGATACAGAGAATACTCTCACAAAATGTCTCGTTCTCAGCGATTTTCTGAGTCTCGACAAGACCAAGATTTCTCACTGCACTGGTGAGATTTCGCACACGCATAGACCTTTCCTTAGTTTTTCCCTTTTTTTGTTTTTTTAACCAAAGACTTGAGGAATGCCCACAGTGCTCCGTGCCTTTTCCGGAGAATTTTGTACAGAGAATACACGGTCTGGTCCGGGAATTGTAATACTTCTGCACGACAGTAACTCTAGTGCATCTTCTGGGGGCAACGTTTCGGTGAAATGACTGAGACATCCCTTGAGGAACACAAACGTTCGTACAGCGAAATCTCAGCGCAAAAAAAGAGTAAAGGTATTTCCCCCCCCCTCAGTTTTTCACCAAAAGAGGTTGCAAGAGTCAAATCTCTAGAAGGTGTCTTCTCAGTTCCTCTTCAGTGGGCCATTGTGGGATGTAAGAGTCCCCCATCTTGAGACTGAAATAGTACAGGCTGATAAAATCCATTTTTGCCATGTTCTGCTTCACATCCAGAGCAGCTTTCATGGCAGAACATTTGTCAGAAAAACCCAACTTTCATTCTCCAGCTGCCCCTTGGCAGAACATTTGTCAGAAAACCCCAACTTTCATTCTCCAGCTGCCCCCCCCCAGCCTCATTGAGTAATGTCTCTCTGTTTTGCTTGCTTCTCACTCTGCAGGAAACGACTCGATTTTTCACGACATTGACAGCGACACCTCGTTAACCAGCTTGAGTGACTGTTTCCTGGCCTCCTCGGAAGTCAGCTCCATGCAGGCTAGGGTGGGGAACCCCATTGACAGGCTATACTCTATGCAGAGTTCTTACTTCGCTTCATGAAATTCAAAGTGAAGCAAGCAAATTCAACAGCGACCGCCCGCTGCCGCTTCACGATAAGGACGCCAGTTGTTGCGAGCCGAAATGCTCCCCTTGAAACTTGTGCTTCAGCTGGGACTCTTAACAGCCATGTCCTCTTCCGCTCTTCCTTCGCACTGATTTCAGCCACTGTGATCACTGGCTCATCCGAGTGAGGGAGACTTGAAGAAAAAAGACGGGTTCAAAATCTTGCACCCATGACCTCAAAAACAACAACAACATTGGTTCAAGGAGTGAAATGGAACAACTTTCTCCCAGACCTTCAAACAACCTTCCGACCTGTTTCTTCCCGGCCACCGTCAGCGTGAAAAAAAGAGAGAGAGAGAGAAATCTCAGCAAACTTGACCCATAGAATGGAGTTTTCTGTGGCGGCCATTTTGAGGTTGGCCAATGTGATCGGAGAAACCCGCTTCATTCTTATTGCATGTTTCACCTTCTGTTGTGAAGCCACCGCTCTCAAACGTCTGCAAGATATTTTAATGTAACTGAGATTGGCGAGAGAGACCATTTGTCATTTGGGTACTTTATTTTATTTTATTTTATTTGCTTCGCCTTTTCACCCTCCCCGAACTTCCTGGATGTTGTCTGTCTCTTCAGATCTCTTGAACTGGCAGGGAGGGAAGGCAGATCGGCGAACTTGGTGCAAAGAGGGGAAGAACCAGACGTGTCACAGTAATTATTATGATATTTAATTAAAAGGGAAAAGAGAGAGAGAGAGAAAAAAAGAATGGAAGTCCCAAGAAGGTGCATGAGGAAAGAGGGGGTTGGTTTTAGATTAGTTGTAACCTTAGAAGCAATTGAACGGAGCAGAAAGTAGCTCGGAGACACATGGTCGCGTTTAAACTCATTTGCCAACACAAAACATTATTATTATTTTTAAAATGTGGTAAATTCATCCTTAGCTTTCATGTCTGGCAGGTCCTCAGTTGATCATTCCCATTGGTTCATAATTGTCCGTTTAAATATATACTACCGCTGGTGATCCCAGTATGGACAAACTAGGACTTTCTTTCATTCCAGTTTATTTCCACCAGCCTCTGCCCCTTGAAGCGTTTCTGAAATGTGAGTCAAGTAGTGAGGGGGGAGGGAAGCAAAGGGTTACGGGATGAGATGGGTCTTCCCCAAACTCTGCTCATCATCTTCAAAGGTCTTGAAGGAATCTCATTCCAGTTGGGTTCAATGTCAACGTTCACCATCCAAACCGATTCAGGATTCCTAGGAAGCATGTCCCATTGAGTTCAATGGCGGTTCCTCCCATGGAAAGCTACCTAGGAGGATTGGCCCAATTAGTGGTTGATAGAGTCATGGTTTCTGAGCCTGGGCCTCTCCAGATGTTTTGATGGCGAATAACTCCCGTGAGCCTCTAGACAGCAGGACCTTTGGTCAAAGATGATGGGAGTCATCAGTCCTCAAAGCTTCCACAAGTTACAGTATTGTCCGCCAACTTGGTTGGCTTTGGAAGGGGGTTCAACCATTCATGGAGAATAAGGCTATCAATGGTTCGTTGACTGCATTATGGTAGGTTCATATTATACTCTTATTTTCAGAGGCAGTGTGTCTCTCAATAATGACTATGGTGGGACATGAGTATGAGGCTTCTTGTGGAGTATCCATACTGCTTGTGGAATACCCATACTCAGGTGAGATGAGGATGCTGGACTAGATAGCATCATAAGTCTAATGCAGTGGTTCCCACCCTTGGGTCCTCAGATGTTCTTGGACTATAACTCCCAGAAGCCTTCGCCACCAGCTGTGCTGGTCAGGGTTTCTGGGAATTGCAGTCCAAGACCATCTGGACTGGAAAGCACTGGTGAAATGCAGCAGGACCCTTCCTTTGTTCTTAGAACATCCACGTGACACAGGTTGGTGTCCATTGCTTTATTCAGATGGAGTAGAATTTAAAAAAAAATAATAGTGCCCGCACTGAATCAGGTAGCAGATTCTTAATTAGTTCAATCATTTTTCATGCAAATAGGTGCAAAGCCCACAAAGAGTCTGAGAAGAAGTATCATCTGATGTGTAGAAGTCGGAATGCCTCTTCTCTTGACTGTCTTGAATGCTCTTTTCTGTGTGTATGTTTCCCCCCCCTCAAATTGAAATCCATGCTGGCCCTTGAGATCGGTAGATCTGCTGTTCAACTGACACGATTTCATCCCATAAGATTTGTTTAACCCGGTGACGATGCTCATGGAAACCAATCCATTTAATACAGATGACAAAGAATTGAAAGCAGAAGGACCCCGCAGAAAGATAGCAGAGAAGAGAGATCCCAAATATGACGCCGAAATGAGCTATCATTCCTCCTGCACTGCGTCATGGATGCTGGCAGTCAATAGGACAGCGAATCCTGCCCAAATTTTAGGTGAAACTTGACAGGCATTATCTCAGCTGCTGAAAAAAATTTACAACATTCATTCAGTCCCTTTCAAGTTCGGACTAAAAAATCACCTCTGTGATGTCAGCATCACCAGCATCATCTAGCAGTTATTACCAAGCACACAAAAAATTAATATATAGGGTGGGGTGGATATACTTTTTCTAGTTATCAAATAATTGCATTTTTGTCCTGCACGTCAACCCTACAGAAATAGACTTGTGCAACGTCTCATCATGCTTCCGTGTTCTTCCACATACGACAGACAAAATATATAGAAGAGGTGTGTGGTGTACAAGCCTCTTTTACAAAGATCCACCTTTGGAACATGGACAACAGAAATAAATCCCTTTAAAACCCCCTAATTCTCCTGCTAACCTGAATTTGCGATCAGAAAGGGTCTCAAAGTGGTGCTCAAATCCCAAAGGGGAAATAGGGCCTGCCCCCTCAACAATCATGCATTTCAGATTTTAATTTAGGCATCCTAAAAAAACATACCCACTGAGGCTCACCATGTTAGCAATGGAGGAGAATTGCAGGATTTATTGATTCATTCGAGTGTGTGCAATTGATAAATCTCTGGAATCAATGCAGTTTGCAGCTGGAAATCTGTACGTTTACAAATGCGACGTGGTCCATACACATGCCCCTCAAAGGCAGTTGAGCAGTGCATACATCTGAAAAAATGCAGATGGCCATGCAGGAAAAATGCATGCATTAAAAACCAGACACATCGAGAGAGATGTGTATGGAAATACATGCAAATATTCGTGTGAGAGGTCAAAAATCATAATCCAGGATGGATCCAGGTTGCAGAGAGCTTCAAGTAGGAAATCAAAGAACATCAATAAGCTCTTCTTTGGATACTTCATGCATTGTGGTAATCCAGATGTTCTCAAATTATAACTCCCAGGATCTTTTGCCACTGTCCAGGCTGACTCAAACAGATGGGAATTGAAATCCAACAATTTCTAGACAACCACAGATTCATCCCTAGACAGGCTGACTTTCTTGAAGTTCACAGTTCTGTTGTGGAAGTTGAGGTAAGCTAGCTTGTCCTTTACCTGATGCCTTTCCTGCATCAGATCAAAGACAGATGAATTTTTTAATTTGTGGTATGGATTATCCCCCAGGGTTGTAATCATCCCATAGTTTTAACCTGGGACGTTCCAGGTCAAAGGTTCCAAAGTATACCCTTGACCTTCTTGTAAATTTGGGGGTTTATCCCCATATTGTCAGGCGAGAAGCTTACGGACAAGGAACAGCAACAGAAGTGAGCAGGTAGCAAGTTCCATCTGAAAACATCTCGGATTGATTTTTAAAAAGAAAAAGCGTTCTTATCTGGAATTCTCAATGGGAACCAGAGATAATGAAGGTTGTTCGGGTGGGACCCTGAAGGTCACGTAGCAGTTTGTTATGGTATGTGGGTTTTTTGTAACTACAATTCACACTGGCAAATCATCCTTCCTTTGGCTGAAGTAAGGCAGGCTAGCATCTCGTAAGCTTTCAATCATGCTTCGGCAGATAAGGAAACAGGCCGTAACCTGAGAATGGAAGTTTAAACACATGTAATCAGGACAAAATATTTTTTATTAGGGTTCAATCTCTGCTCTGTGAGGATGCGGAGAGAGAAAGAGAGAGTCCGGGGATATGGCATTAGAATGAATCATAAAAAGATAAAAATTTGTTGATAGTGGGAATTTGCCTATTAAAAGTCATACTATGGCAGCTTCCCGCCATTATGCGCACAGGTCTGTTGGAGGGACATTAGCACCTTTAAATTTCAGGGTGGAGGACAGAACAGGTCTACTGTACCTACACCACAAAGATAGCCAGGTGAATTAGTCCCTAAACTCCTAGGGAACTTTTAGTGGAAACCACAGGCCGTAATGTCTATTCACCTGGGATGCTAAAGATCACAACCGCTGTTCATTAGACCCAATGTCACAACCACCATTCACAAAGATTCTCTTATTACACAAGCTGTCCAAGACTTCTCCCCAGTCATGGTGTTGCTGAAGGCGCCAGACAAGTACACATGGTTAATATGCAAATGAAACATTTTGAAAATAGGGAAGGCCAACAAATAGGGCTCAGTTTCCTTTTATATTTTTCTGTAACTGGAGAACTGGGTCCTTGTTGGTGTGAAAAAGCAAGGGGGCGCCATTTTGTTTGTGAGAATTGCCACCATTATCTCACAACAGGGAGCCATTATGACAAGACCAGCCCTACTCTTAGGTAGAATGAAGTGACTAGCTAGCTGACCATAGTTGTGGCAAAGGATTCTCCATTTTCTCCACCAGCTGCCAGCCTGATCAGTCTGTCCACAGGTGTTATTTACTGTATTTTTCTCTGTATAAGACGCCCCCCCACTTTTCTAACCCAAAAGTAAGAGATCTAAGTGGGACTTAGTAAGTGTAGGGGGAAAGGGATCAAAGCCCTGCAGGATCGCTTTGATCCCTGCTTTCCCTTCCACTTGTTTTTGTTCTCTCCTCACCTTACTTCCGTGTATAAGACCACCATCAATTTTTATTCTAAAGATTTTAGACAAAAGTATAGACTTATACATGGAAAAATACGGTATTCCTTTTCCTTGGTGTGCGGAACGTCTTAGTTCAGCCCTGGATGAGGAACCTAGAACCAAGGACCTCCCCTTGCAAACCCCTATCCAAAAATAGAAGCATTCATGTAGACTTGTGAAAGGGGGAATTCACATATTAAAGTCATATTATGTCAATGTTCCTGTCAAAGAGTTTAAGACATGGGTGGCCTCTGAGACAAGAAGCATCCCCCAAACATCTCAAAAACTTTCTGGAGCCCTGTCGTGTGACCTTCTCCCTTCTCTTTGCTTCACCTTCAGCACTTCTCTTCAGTTCTAATGAGAAAAGATATTGCCATGATTTGGGTTACCACCGTGGTAAGCCCTATTGATCAAATGGGTCTACTCCGGTGGGAACTCACCATTTAATCTGCCGCGGCGCATGCCTTCTAGGTATACCTACCCAGCGGTCTTGGGTCTCGGTGGATTTGTTCGATGACCAAAACAAACCCCATGCCTCTGAACCAACCAGGAGGTTTTAAGAATTCAAAATTTTTTACTCGGAGTGCATGGACTGTGCTGCCTTTTTCAATTTATTTCCCTTTCCTTCTTCCCCGTGTTATCAGCCCAAAGCATGTGTTGATACAACATTGGTGTAAATACAACTTCTAACGTGCAGGGCAAATGTGTCATCATGACTCCAAGCCCATCAAGAATTCAGCTCCCCTTTCACGTTGATGAAACACTGCGGGGAGGGGGGAAAACATCTTCCTGCAGCCATATTTGAAGCCCACGTGGTGTATTCTGGTAATTTTAGAGTCTAGATTGAATGGCCCTACCAGGAGGATTTTTTTTTTTAAAGGTGATCTCATGTATTACTTCAATTCCTTTAAATTATAGCTAAGCCAGACCACCTGGAATTGAGGCTCTTCTTGATTATTGAGTGTCATGGACATCTTATCCTTGGTGATCCCACCATGTGGGTTTTCTGCAGTCACTCAGTCATAGTGACCATGGGTGGTTCAGAAAGCAGCAGGAGGTATGAAACATTTGATGTTTGCAACACCGAACACACACACAAAAGGTCCGTCTATGACAACTCAGAAGCAACAACCAAGCGAGGATGGGCAGGGCATCAAAACAAAATAAGTCCATTCCTTGTT